TCTGGATCGAAGTGACCAATATCGATCAAATTGTTAATGAAGCTCGTCAAGACGTCTAAGTCATGGGGTTGACAGCGCTTGAGGCGGTACACAAGTTGAGGAATTGTCATGTACATCATTGGGATTGTCAGCAAAGATGAAACAAGTCTTCGCAATTTGTACGAGGCTGGCCACTCCACTTTATATTATTTATAATCATGGTGTTCATCATTTGAAAGCACGCTGAGTCAAATTGGTTGTCGAGACGAGTCAAAATATTTTGATATGCAGCAATTAGCGTGTCGGGCGCTGCAGACACGGTACGTGATTGCAACGCTCCATTAAAGTTCTGGCCACTTCGTCAACGTTAAGGTCATATTCCGTATTATAATTGTATAATCCCGTGGTACTCATTGGCGTACCCAGTAACTTCAGGAGGGTCGAGATGCATAAGACGTTCCACTATTAGCGCTTGGTAAGCCGTACCATACACGAAAGTGTTGCCGCCATTTGAAAGCTTTGAGATCAATTTGTGAAGGTCAAGCGCCGCACTTCCGCGAAATCCCAAACTTGGATTCTAGATCTATGGCATATGACTCAGCTTGGGCAGGGTCCAGTGACCCACAATCCAAAATCGTGCTCTTACCGCTTCCACGGGCATCAAATAATTGCAGATTATTTAATTCGAAATTTAGCATGTAAGCGAAATGATCCACTACGTATAAACAATGTCCTAAAGGTTAGTAATGATGCTATCCATTCATATAAAAAGCTACTTACTAGTTTGAAGCTTGTTCCCAAAACCCATATAAACGGTCTGGGAATGAAACGAAGGAAATCGTTTTACAAGGATTTCGATGGTCTGGTGGACTCTCTCGGGCGCTGTACAAATGTCAGAGTAGCACAAAGATGCCGAGAACTTGCTACACTGTCAGTGCTGCGGTTCCGTTGTCAAGATCCATAGCATTGGTGTACAGGCGGCAGGGATACCATTTGGACAACTCATGTCTTTTGGAAGCGGAGGCCTGTACAAAACATAATGCGACGAAAGCCAAACTTAAATTTCATTTCGATAGGGATGAAGACTTGTTAGACGAAGTAAATTGCGGAATGATGCATTGTTCTCATAAAGTCTAATGACCTTCATAGAGCTCGTCAGACAAGTTTGAATCTCCGAGCCGCAAAGTCAGCTATTATAAGCCAGCTGATTGTATGAGATGGCCCTGGATCAGAAGCTTTTGGAAGATTGGCGGTAACGCTTTTCGACGGATCCAGTAGTGATTACATCAGATGAAGTCTATTGGTAAGACATCACTTAATCAGACAAAGAGCCTTTACGGAAGAGTTATGTCGAGAATGTCGACGAAACAATATGCGATGGGGTTGCTGTGCACCTTGAGCTAGTTCACTTCAACAAATGCACCGAATATTCGTCTGCATGTTTCTATCTAAGAGCTGAACTGAACCGATTGCTCCGAGTATCATATCGAAATTTTGTTAGTATTACCATCTACAATACTAAAAAAATTGTTTGAGGCTAGAAGTTTGTACACCATGACATTGTAAAGGGTGTAATGACTCCGCAAATTCTGCATTTGTACTGTATCTGAATTTAATCACTATGCCTCCCTCTGCAATAAATACCAGATCATTCGACCTAATTCGGGGATAAGTTAGAGTTGTAAGTACATTTTTTTGGTTCACTTTCCTTCTAGTCCCAATTCTGTCCCTGCAGCGGGGCTACCGAAGCGTTGCGCTTAAAGGAAGCGTAATTTAGGTCACCGACCTTTTGTTCTATACTTAGAACAAGTACGAGTTAGCAGATCGCAATTTGCTTTCTCCAAGAGTAATTCTTGCCTTAACCCAAGATTAATTACTCTTCCGTCTACAATTCAAAACTGATTTTTATTTATTTTAATCTGCGGCAAAGCCGCTTGATTTTGAATGTTTAGATTTCCCCAAATATAAATAGTAAAATCTAAATGCATGCATAACTACCGTATTCTTGTTTGGCTGCAGTCACACCATGTCCATCTTGTGTGACACACACCCCTGTTACCAGGGTACATGTAACCCCGTTACACTCTCCCACGTTAAAATTGAGAATATGTACAGTTCCAATCGATTATTGCCTCAACGAGGCTCGCGTGTCCGCTAGACACTACAACTTAATTCATTGGAATAAAGGACTTCCGTGCTCTATGAGCCCTGTTTAACGACACTGAAATCAATAAGTCTCGCTGGTTTTGACAGCGAAGACAGGCAGAGCACAACTTCGTCTCCCGCACGCGGTACAATATCGGACAGTGCGTCCGCGGCACCGAGGTATATACGTCCTAGGCTCGATGAGCACGAGCGTCGCGCTTTGCGCACGCTCTCAATGACAAGTGACCTTGTTTAGGATGTGGAGGTGGTCGACTACGAGTCTGGCACTACTTTTCCCGCATGGATGACGAGGAAGGCGAGCTGCGCCAGCGGCGTGATACGACCCTGCTCGCACCTTGCGGACCCCATGTCCGTTTCCTGACTTTTCGTCAACCGAGGGACGTGGTGTAATCACCCAACGACCTCGACGGGGCGTAAGGTCGGCAGCTGGAAGCTGCCCATAAAGCGGCTCTGGAGCGCCCATTCACGGCCGGTCATTGACGCTCGTGTGAAATATGGCTCCGCCCAGCGGATCTTGCTGGGGAAACGACGGACGCGGTAACTCGATCGTTACGCATCCACACGATCGGGTCCCCGGCCATTACGGAAGCTGGATTTGCCAAAAGGAAAGCTCTTCGAGCTCGTTTCTTGGTTCCACATGAAGTTCCGTTGGAAGCTTATCGCACTCGTCTGAGTGCTCAACGAGGTGGCCCCGTGTACCCGCAACGCGGACAATAATTGTAGTGCTCGCCCCTGGCGAAAGCGCTTCAGATGACGAAGCGCTCTTTGAGCGATGGGTGCAACAGCATTGAAAACTTTACTCACTGTATAACCTACATTTGAGCCACAAGGAAGTGGAAGTGGGTGCGAAGCGACACCTTCGATTTGAATTTGCCAGACTCAAGGCATGCCCTCAACTTCCTTCGGAATGTCGCCCTGCGACGTATGGGTTAACCCTTCACGCTCCCGCGAGCTCTGTTTCTGCGACCGCAAGAGCTCAGGGCCACTTTTGATCTCAGCTCATGGCCCTTCTACTTCCCTGGCTGTTGTCGGAAAGCGCGGGGTGTCTGATGACGCGGGACGTCCTGATCTTTCCGATCAAAAGCGTTCACGGCGACTTGGCGATCTTGCCGAAATGGCGCCTCATACTCCCGCTAGTATCCGGAGGCGTGATATTCCCGCCACTTCACCAGATATTGGGTTTCGCCCTGGTGACGACGTCGTCCAACAAGACGTTCCACGTGATAGTGGACGTCACCGTTCTCATCGAGAAGAGTCGGTGGCGGACGGTGACGACCGGGTCGATCGCCGTTCGGTGACTCGCGATGCTCTTCGAGTCCTTGAGGATGAGATACTTCGTGATCGGAGCTCCCTCGGCGTCATGCTAAAGTAGCATATCGCTGCGCGGACGCTCTTGACGATTTAAAGCACGTCGTGCGCCAGCTGCCTTGCCTTGAGGAATACCGCGCTCTATCGGAGTGTTTCCTATCCGTGGAGCAGGCAAATGCGTCGCTGCATGCGACGGTGGAGCGCTTGGCGCCATTAGAAATGAAGGTTGTTGCACTCCGTGCACAGAACCAGTTGCTGGTTCAGCTTCTAGGTGGCCGAGGTCCCGTGGGATCCGCTCCGGCGCCAACACTTCCGCGTTCACTTGCGCCGGGACCCGGTACGGCTCGAGCAAGCCCACGTAAAACTCTTGGTGGGTGCGCATCCGTTTGGGAAATTTTAGCGTATACGCTAGGCCCCGCTTGGCCAAACCTTAAACGGTGCAATAAACCGTGGACGAAGCTTCGTCCGGTAGATAGCGGAAGATGCATGTGTAGGCATGTTTTTGGAACTTAATAAAACCAGGTTCCCGACCTTAAAGCTCTCCACTTTGTCTCTTCCGTTTGCATATTGTTTCTACAGGTCTTGGCATTCAGCCATCGCATCGCGAACGTGTCGTAGGACACTAGGTCTGGTAGACAAGAAGTCATCGACTTCTTTACGGATGGTGAGGATGTTGACATCAGCTAGCCGTTGGGCTATTCCTCCCCCCAAGCCCTGAGCCATGGGATGGCGGCGTCAGCCGGAAGCGAGGGCGAATCAGCCCGTTCACGTAGAACGGCGTGTAGCCAGTAGACGAATGCACTGCATTGTTCAGTGCAAACTTTATGAGTGGCAACATGGCGCTCCAGCGCCTCGGCGTCTCAGCGCAGACGCTACAAAGAACGTCTTTGATGACGCGATTCACCCTTTTTGTTTGACCATCGGTCTGCGTATGCCGCTGCCGACATATCCAAATTGGTGCCGAGCACCTAACAGATAGTCGACCGAAATTTTCCCGTGAAATGGGGGTCTCTATCAGATTTAATCGACTCTGGGAGTCCGTGTTGTCGAAAAACACGATCTACAGAAAGCGTAGCTGTACCGACCCCGTCGATGGTGTCTGGCACCGCCACCAAATGAGCCATCTTGCTCAACCGGTCGACGAATACCACGGCACCCGTGTTGCCTGCCGAATCGTTCGGCAGGCCAAACACAACGTCCAGACCCATGGACTGCCAGCACCCAGTGGTACCGGTAAGCTGGCCAGCGGCGCAACCGCATTTGGAGAGAGTTTAACTCGCTGAAACGTCTCACACGTGCGCACATAGTTGCTTGTCTATTTGTACAGCTTG